ATTCCAAATCTTTTCAAATCGGAACAGTAAGAATGTTAGAAGGAAAAGTACCATATAATTTTTTAATAAATGAATTAAAACCTTACATTAAATCTATAAGTAAAAAAAAGAAAATTACTTTGATTGGTTCGGGAGGAAACATAAATTTTGCATTCAAATTTTCAAAAAAAGAAGAAGGAAAACCTCTTTCTTACTTTTACTTAAAAAGTCTCTATAGTTTAATAAAAGGTATGTCTTTTGAAGATAGGCTTGAAGTTTTAAATATGAAACCAGATAGAGCAGATGTTATCATTCCTGCACTTCAAATTTATATAAATATTATGAAATGGTCAGATGCAAATAAAATTTTTATTCCAAAAGTAGGCGTCTCTGATGGTATGATAAAATATATGTACTATAAAAATTAAAAATAATCAACAGACGAGTATTTTTGTGCTTATTATTACTTAATGTCTATAATGATTTCAAAAATATTAAAAGTATATCTGGCACTATTCCTAAAATAATAATAAATAATGCCATAATTACTAAAACTATTTTTGAATATATGGGTATTTTGTTTACTATGAGGTTACCTTCCTTAAAATACATAGCTATAATTAATCTGAAATAATAATATACAGACAGAACTGCCAAAACTAATGCTATAACAATTATTGATATATTTTGAGGATTTGTCATTGCGTTGCTCAAGGCAAAGAATTTAGCAAAAAAACCTGCTGAAAGTGGTATTCCTGATAAAGATATTAAACTAATTGTCATTATAATAGCTAAAAAAGGATTGGTTTTTGATAAGTCTCTAAAATCTTTGTATTTATTTCCTTTTACAACAGTCAAAGCATAAAAAAGTGTTATACCAGAGAGAGAATATGTGAATATATAAAATAAAAGAGCTTCTTTGGATAATTCTGTATGTTGAAGAGTTATAAACATCATAAAGCCAGCTTGAACTATTGATGAGTAAGCAAGCATTCTTTTAACATTTGATTGATATAAGGCAGAGAAATTACCAATTATAAGAGTTAATAAGATGATGAAAATGATAATTAGTCTGTAATTAGCACTTAATGGATGCGACCATGGAAATTCCCAAAGAATTTGAACAAACCCAAGAAATGCACCTCCTTTAACAATTGTTGACATAAATGAAGTAAAAACAGTAGGCGTTCCATCATAAACATCGGGAGCCCAAAAATGGAACGGAGCAACAGATATTTTAAAACAAAATGAAATAATTATTAATATCCAACCATAGAAACATATGTTATCAAAACCTTTTACGGCTATTAAGCCTATTTTATCTAACATAAAAGAACCACTGGAACCGTATAGAAATGTTATTCCTAATAATAAAATACCTGTAGAAAAAGAACCCATTAGGAAATATTTTATAGCTGCTTCTGTACTTTTCATTTTATTTTTCGCACTTCCTGCTAAAATATACATTGGTATTGAGAGCATTTCAATACCTAAAAACATCATCAAAATATTATTAAACTGTGCTAATAAAGAAATCCCTGTAAATGAAAAAAATATTAAGGCATAAAAATCATTTGTAGAAAATAGATTTATTTTTTTGAATTCGTCAATATTTATTATTAAATAAAGTAATAAAAGAATAGTTAAAAGTATAAAATAATATAGCCCATATGTAGAGTTATAAATCATATTTGGGAAATAATTAGGCATTATTTCAAAACCATTTAATTGTAAAATTGCAGATATTAAGATAATAATTGTCAGTCCAATTGCTATAAAAGATTGTATATTAGGTCTTTTTATAAAAAACCCACTAAACATCATAAATATTCCTGATAAAACAGTTGTTAATATTATATTCATTTTTATATTTCTATGTTAACCAATTGAAAATTAAATTAGGAAAAATACCTAAAATAATTATTAAAAGTGCTATAATTCCAAGATAAAAAAAGACTCTATTACTAATTTTTAATTCAGTTTCGTTGACCTTTAATTCACCAAAAAGTATTTTACTTATGAGCCTTAAAGTATAAACTGCCGATAAAATAACCCCAAAACAAGCAATAACAGCTATAATCCAATTGGTTTTAAAAAGACCTGAGAGCATTAAAAATTCACCTATAAAACTACTTGTAAGTGGCATAGCTATATTTGCTAATCCAAATAATACTATCAGAATTGAAAGCATAGGGTTTAAAGTTGCTAATCCGGATAAAGAATTAATATCATTTGCATTATATTTTCTTTCAGCATAATCTATACTTAACCATAAGCCCAAAACAACTAATCCATGACTAAATGCCTGAAAATAAGCACCTTCTGAACCAATATTATTACTAAATAATGCTAAGAAAATTAAAGAAAGGTGAGCTATTGAGCTGTATGAAATTATTTTTTTAATATTATTAGAATCCCATGCTATCAAAGAGGTGTATATTATTCCAAATAATACTACATATTGGTAAATATTAAAAAATTGAAAATGAGTATAATAAATAGAAGGAAATAATCCTATCAACCAAATAGCTACTGCAAAAATCCCCATTTTTGAAAGTAATGCACTTAAGACAACTGTTATAGGGGTAGGCGATGTTTTATATATTGTTGGTTGCCATGTATGAAAAGGAAATATTGGAATTTTTATTATAAATGGGATTAAAAATAATGTAAATAAAGCACCTAAATTTGAAAATTTCTTTGTAGTATTTGCTACATCTGAAAGTAAAAAACTTACAGGCTGTAATGCAAAACCTATAAATAAAATTCCTGCTAATAAAAACATTGAGCCTAATATTGTGTATAAAAAGAATTGCATATTTGCTCTTATTTTATTTTTTGATAAACTCCAAACACCTATTAAAAAATAAATCGGAATTAAAACTAATTCCCAGAAAAAATAAAATAAAACTAAATCATTTGATAAAAATACTCCATTTAATCCAGCATATGTTAAAAATAATAATCCATAAAAAGAATTATTATATTCTTCTGATTTAAAAGCATTTAGATATAAAAATAATGTAAGAAAAACTATTGAAGTTAAAAGTACCATTAATGCACCTAATCCTTTGAAAGATAATGAAAAATAAGTCTGAACATGATTTAATGAAAACCAACAATGCTGATAGTTTAATACTTCTGAAATTTTATTTGAATTTAAAACATATATAAAATAAATTGAGACTGAAAGTAGTATTAATGGAATTATTGGAAATAATCTCTTAAAAGTATGTTTTTTTGATAATACTAAAAAAAGTAAACCAAAAAATAAGGGTAAAAATATAAATAAGTTAATCAACATTTTAATTCAATAATATTTTATTTAACAAAGAAAAATAATACAATAGTGAGTAATATACTCAGCACCATAAATAACACATAAATAGCTACATTCCCAGTTTGTATAGCCGTAAATCTATCTCCTAATTGATATGCACCATATCCTACATTTTCTATAAACTGGTTTAAACCAGCTTTTTCAATATATTTTTTAAAGAAGTTTGCTATCCACTGTAATGGGAAAACTATTATTTTATTATATATTTCATCTATATACCATTTATTTTCAAGTATTTTAAATATCCCTTTTGATTCAATATCTGGGTTATTAGTATATTTTTTTAATGTAAAATAAATTACAGCAATTATTGCAACTGTTATCCCGATTATTGAAACCCATTCAATAGTATGGCTAACATGAGAATTATTTTTTAGAGCGGGAATGACGGAAGATAATAAAGGGGTAATCTTATCTGCATTTGATGAAAATAATGCAGGGATTCCTACAAAGCCACCTACTATGGAAAGAATTGCTAATATAATCAACGGAATTGTAATAAGTTTTGGGCTTTCATGAGGATTAAGATTGTTTGTTCTTAAATCACCCAGAAATGTTAAAGCAAATAATCGAGCCATATAAAAAGCTGTTAATAATGAAATTATTATTCCAAAAACATAGGCTAATTTATTATGAGACAATAGATTAAATAAAATCATATCTTTTGAGAAAAAACCACTCAGAGGAGGTATTGCAGAAATAGCTAAACAGCCGATTAAGAATGTCCAATAAGTAATGGGCATATATTTTTTAAGACCTCCCATTTTATTTACATCTTGTTCATGATGCATACCATGAATAACAGAGCCTGCCCCAAGAAATAGTAAGGCTTTAAAGAAAGCATGAGTCATCACATGGAATACAGCTGCCACATACCCTCCTACCCCGAGCGATGCAAACATTAAACCGAGCTGTGATACTGTGGAATACGCTAATACCTTTTTTATATCGTTTTGTCTTATGGCTATTGTTGCGGTGATAAGAGATGTTGATAGCCCGACCCAAAGAATTATATCTTGCGTAAGTGGTGCTAATGAAAACAAAGTATTGCAACGTGATATCATAAATATTCCTGCTGTAACCATTGTTGCAGCATGTATTAAAGCAGAAACAGGAGTTGGTCCTGCCATTGCATCTGGTAGCCATGTAAACAAAGGAATCTGTGCTGATTTCCCTGTTGCTGCAATAAATAATAATAATGTAATGCCAATAACAGCTTCGGCTGGTAATAAGTTTAATTTATTAAATATTATTGTATAGTTTAATGTTCCGTAATAACTTAATAACCAAAACATTGCAATCAAAAAACCAACATCTCCAATTCTATTCATTATAAAAGCCTTTTTGGCTGCTGAAACATAATCAATATTTTTAAACCAAAAACCTATAAGCAGAAAGCTACATAAACCTACGCCCTCCCATCCGATAAACATAATAAGAAAATTATCGCCCATCACTAATAAAAGCATAAAAAATATGAAAAGGTTTAAATATGCAAAAAATCTACCTAATCCTTCATCTCCTTTCATATAAGCAGAGCTATAAACATGTATCAGAAAACCGACCCCTGTTATGATAAGCATAAATAATGAAGAAAGTGCATCTATTTGAAAAGCAAAAGGTATGTGGATTTTTTTTAAATTAATTATATCAAAGGCAGTATAAATCAATGGTTTAGCATCAGAACCCGTAGGGATTTCATAAAAAACAATAACTGATAAAATAAAACTTATAAAAATAGTTAAGCAACCAATAACACTAATGGTGTTTTCTGTAAATTTACCTCTACCGAACCCATTAATTATAAATCCAATTAGAGGTAATAAAGGGATAAACCAAATAAAATATTCCATATTAATTAATTTCGAAGCTTTGTTAAAAGATTAATATTTAGATTTTTAGTTTTTCTAAACAATAAAATAATAATAGAAAGACCTACCGCCACCTCAGCAGCTGCAACTACCATAATAAAAAAAACAAAAATTTGCCCGTCAATACCTGCTTGTGTTTTTGGAGCTATTTGATGATGCATTTTTGAAAATGCTACTAATAATAAATTTACTGCGTTTAGCATTATTTCAATACACATAAACATAATTAATGCATTTCTTCGAATTAAAAACCCGAGCATACCTATCGTAAATAAAATTATTGATAAAAATATATAATAAGTTATTGGCATAATATTCTATTTTTTTTCTGTTCTATCATTTTTTTCATCATTTCCGGTTTCTTCATTTTCGGATAAGCCATTTTTCTGCTTATTTTTAATCATATCATTTGTTTCAATTAATTCTTCAATATCTTCATTTTTATTTTTTACAATTTTCGAATTTTTAGAAGTTTCTTCATTTTTCAATTCTATTGGTTTAAGTTCTGATTTTAAATCCTTTTTAGCTAAAAGAACAGCACCAATCATTGCAGAAATAAATAGAATTGTACTCAATTCAAAAGGCAAAACATAATCTTTATAAAGAGCTTTTCCAAGATTTTCTATCAATCCGATATTTCCTTCATAATACATAGCGGTGGAATTATTTAATTCAGGGACATATAATATTTTGATAGTAATAAGCAGAAAGCCACTAGCCAAAAGAATTGAAATTACAAAAATTTTAGTATTAGAAAAATGAGTATCATTTTTATTTAGGTTCATTAGCATTACCACAAATAGGAAAAGCACCATAATAGCCCCAGCATATACAATAATGTTTACTATAGCCAAAAATTGAGCATTTAGTAATATATAATGCCCACTAATACCAAAAAATGTAGCTATTAAAAACAAAATAGAATGAATTGGGTTTTTAGCAAACACAGTCAGCAAAGCTGTTAAAACCGTTAAGCCTGAAAGAATAAAAAATAAAATTTGATTGATATCCATTTTAGTTTGAATATTTATTTTTAATAGGTAAAAGTAAGTCTTCTTTTGTATAAATAAAGTTTTTTCTTAAGAAACTTGCTGGAGGAATGGTCTGAGACATATAAATAGCATCCTTTGGGCAAGCCTCCTCACAAAGGCCACAAAAAATACATCGGAGCATATTTATTTCATACTTTGCTGCATATTTTTCTTCTCTGTAAAGTTTTTCCTCACCGGGAAGTCTTTCCGCAGCCTCCATAGTAATAGCTTCCGCCGGGCATGCTAATGCACATAAACCACAGGCTGTACAATTCTCTCTTCCTTTTTCGTCTCTATTCAAAACATGAAGACCTCTAAATACTTCTGAAAAAGGTCGTTGTTGCTCGGGGTAGTTTATAGTAATT